GCAACCATCACAAAACAAGAGACCCGAGAACTAGAAAGGCGAGGCTTCACCACCCATTTATCCCTCCGCCTTTCAACCAGCCCCACATGTGATTATCGGCCAAGCTGGCACAATGAACTAACTCAGGTGTTTAACCAAGGAATTGTTGAGTTGACATGATGTGGTATTAGCCATTTTGAATCTAACAATCATATGATCAACTATTCAGGGAATAGCGAATTGAAAAGTAAGGTCAGGCTGAATTCCTTGGTGAAAAGAACATTTCCAGATCTATTCATAAGTGCATTTCTGTCCGTGATAAAATGATACCCATACACATACAAAGAAGACCAGTTACTCAGATGAAAGATTACTCACTAAAGCCAAAGATGAAGAAAATGGAGATATCTATCAATTGCTCTCTTCTGAAAGTGATCAAGTATGTGATCAAAATACATTGACACTGGTCATTGGAAAACAAAAGTTGGGAACAAAGAATGCTCTGTGATTGAAAAAAATATGGCCTTGGTGACATAACAACTCAGAGATAAAATGCTATAAATCCAAGGATTATTCTATTCACATTCCCTATCTGACAATATAAATAGAGTGGAGTACATAGAAATTAAATGGACTATAACTGTGGAAAGAGATGGTAGAGAAACTCAATGTCAATCAGCCTATACAAGGTCCGAGGCCAACTCTGGGATCGACCATAAGTTGTTCATGTGCATGTTCAGATTGAAGTGGATAAAAACAAGCCTACAAGGTTGTCATATGGCCTTGAATATATGCCACCTGAATTGGGACCTCCACAAGAATAGGTTTGATCAATTGGACTGAAGACGAGAGGAGTTGGTGGATGGCATCAAAAACATCACACACGAGAAAAACGAGAAAGAAGCGACCACAGTAAATGTCAAAAGAGACTCTAGAACTTGCTCTAGAAGGTGTACTAATCAGCCAGAAGAAACAATAAAGTAAGAACGAGATGAACAGAAGATTTCCAGGGCTGGATCAAGAAAACCAAGTGAAGTATTAAAATGAAATGTGGAAATACTTGGAGTCGGAGAATCAAAACAGGGAGAACATGCTCAACTTTCCTCAAGTTGAAAATAAAATGAAGCAACTCAAGCCATGAGTTGTAATATTGAAGGACTCCTAGGGAAGTGGCACAGGGAATATCGATAGAAGATGGAAGGCATCGCTATCATGGTTAAAAAGTAATTTGTTGGCATTTAATCATTTTGAGAGTTAGCATATGACCAAGCACTGGTGGTATTGAAGGAGATAGTCTGTTGCCAAAAGCATTAGTTATAAACAAGGCTTGGTAGAGTAATGGTTACATGTTGGGCCCCTAACTGAAAGGTCAGCAGTTCAAAACCACCAGTCACTCTGTTGGAGAAAATCAAGGCTTTCTCCTCCCATATGGAATTACAGTCTTGGAAACCCACAGGGGCAGTTCTATGTTGCCCTATATGGTCACTATGAGTCGGAATCCACTTGATGGTAATGAGTTTGTTTGTTTGCTTGGTTTTTTTTTTGTTTTGTTTTGTTTTTTGAGGGATTGATGGAATCCCACTTGTTCCAAAACACAGATGCCACACTGGAAGTGCTCACTCATTTTACACTAGACATTTAGAAGACAGCTACCTGGCATGAAGAGATCCACATTCATTCCAAAAGAAAGTTTATCCAACAGAATGTAGAAATTATCCACCAATATCACTAAGAAGACATGCAAGTATAATGTTGCTGAAAATAATTATAATTATTTTTGTAATTATAATTACAAAACAATTGCAGCAGTACAAACCGTCAGACATTAAGCTCGAAGTCAAAGGACATGGAACAAGGGATATCATAGTTGACATCAGCTAGAACCTGGCTGAAAGCAGAGAATACCAAAAATATTTGCCTGGGCCATACTAGCAAAATGCATTGGAAGACGTGTAGCCCAAATGCTCCTCAGAATGAAGATGGCGAAACCTTAGGTATACTATCAAGAAGGACCGATCTCTGAAGAAGGACACTATGCTTGGGAACAGAGAGGGTCTGGGAAAAGAGGAAGGCTCTCCGGGAGGTAGATTGACACAGTGGCGGCCTCCATGAGCTCAAACAGAGGAACAATTGTGAAAAGGACCAGGTAGTGTGCCCAGGGACGCTGTGAGTCAGAACCAACTCCAGAAGAGGAACAACTGTGAGGATGGCACAGGACAGGCAGTGTTGCCTTCTGTTGTGCCTGCGAGGAAGAGACTCAATGGCATCTGACAACAACAACAACAACAGCAGCAACATAGGCACAAAGATTAACCTGGATGACCTGCTGCTGCTGATCACAGACAGGTGAAAATACAG